GCGAGAATGAGTGGAAAAAAGGCGTTTCTAAAACGCCGAAAAACATAGTTCTGACATATTTCGGAACCTACTGATGGTGAATACACAAAAAGTGCCGCGACTGCGGCTTGGACTCTGACAGAATGTTTAGTTTATGTTCTAGGCTGCTTAGATGGTAACACCAGGAATTAAACTTAAAGTAACCGCCCAGAGCTGAACCTCGAGAAAAAAAGAGAGACGAAGGCGCTCTGCAAAATGAGTACGGAAAGGAATGCTTTTGCACAAGTTTCCATTAAAAATGCCTGAATTTATAACAACATCCGAAATCGACGAAATAAATGCCTACTACTACTACTACTGATAGTTTGACCGTCGATTTCCACTACGTCACCGTATACTCCAAAACAGAGCGGTACAGGAACCGTGGCTATGCGCTTGATTATAGTGAGAGTGGACTTGCGCGGCATCTACCTCACTCTCTCTTCCCTCACCCATCTGGGCTCAGTGTCAAGACACAGTCAAGAAGACCGGAGGACGCATCAGACCCGGGACAGGCCGCCCCTCTAATACGTGTCCCAACAAGTGGCTAGGATCTCACGTACGTGGGAGTGCCATAACGGCCGCATTGAGAAACCATAGCAGCCTGACTCAGTCTGCCGATCAACCATTCCGACAGGTCGAACATCGCTCTCGACGATATCCAACGCGAGCTACAGTATGCTGAAGGCAGACGCGGTGACTATGGCTGGATTAAAGTGAAAGTAGACTTGCCGGATCTACCTCATTCTCCCACCACTCCCACATCTGTACGCGATGTCAAGACAAGAGGCGAGAAGACCGGAGGTGGGGGAGGGCACAGGTGGCTGACGCGGCTAAAACACCACTACACGTACCAACAGCACACCTTGCTAGGTAGGCGCCCGCGTGCGCGGGAGCGCCATGAAGGCCACATTTAGAAGGAGCCATTGCAGCCTGACTATCAACCTGCCAGTCAGCCGCTCCATACAACAAAACACACACTGGGCTGACTGCGGTGTCCAAGTTGTCTCGTCAGTTGGCAACCCTCCAAACCGCGGCTTCTAACGCACCGTGATAGCTTCAAACAAGTCAACTTGTTTGTAGTGAGGAAAAAAGTGCGTTGACTCGTCGACCTCACACTCTCCCTCACCGCCAACATCAAGCCATTGCCTAGCCGATCGGTCGCCTGATGTGAGACGGAACTACTAATACTACAGTTGGCATCTTTACCAACTGTTTGCAGGAGACCGAGGAGAAGCACATTCAAAAGCCGCATCCTGGAGTGATCGAAATGCGCGGGGATTATACCGCACGATAATCACCCAGGTAATTCGTTGTTATTGAAAATGTATTTCAGGGATGCGGTTAAATGTCCACGAGATACGCCAACTGAGGACCTGATCTAATAATATGCAAAAACCGGTATTGCGAAATAGTATTTCATTCCGCTGAATGTTGCAACTAGTCCAAATGTCTACAAAAACGACATTATAGTGAATTTAACGAATAAAATTCTTCAGTGGTTGGACAAAAATCTCACCAGAAGAAAACGGGAAGGAAGACGTATCTTCATAGTTTAGAGCAGGTTCTCGCTCACTCGGAAGCAGAAAGCTGGTTCGCGGCTTATTCCTGCTTATGGATGGATACGGTTCTACAAAGAAACAAAATAGAGAAATATGGTTATAAGTTCACGACCTCTACCAAAATTATTTCACGTTAGCTCATTCTTGGTATTTAAACGTAAGTGTCATTGTGTATCTAAATACCAGTCGTAAATTGACGGGCTGAGAGGTGGTAAAAGCAGGTATTAATGCTGTATACTGGTTGGTTCCCATTTGTTGTCATACATTTCTGAAGCATTAAAAAGTTGGTTGCAAAACCTTTGATAGCGGAACCTTCTGATTTCCCTAGGCCTAACTGTAAAGCGCCACTACGTACTTGGGATTATTAATCAGGTTCGAAGCAAACGCTTGGATTTGTTAGTATTAAGACGAAAACTCCCCCCAGACAGGTTGTGGTGACTCACTCTGCGTAGACGGTCATCGTGCGAAGACTCACCGCTGTCCACGAGTACGCATTTACTGGCCGCCTAAGCCCGTCTGTCTAGCCAATCACCTGTCAAGGCCGCTTTAGACGCACCCCTGTGACGTGCGGCTGCTCGGTCGTCTGACAGCCAATTTTATACTACCTACTCTCCCGCTCTTCCTATACAGAATA